GTCGTGTTTTGTAGCCCAAAGTTTAAATATTATGAATAGATAAATAGATTTTGAACAAGTTTAACTATTATGGCCTTTTTCTTTATTGGAGAAAATGCCATAGTTGCTCACTGGGGTCTTTTATTGTTGGAGAATTAGAGGCAAGAACACTTAATTATTGAATATTCAGATTAAATTAGAAGCAACATTATCTCCTGACCTTTTGGCCTTCAGATGCAATTCTCTTATATTTGAGAAATAAACTAATGAGCCAAGGATATGAACAAATAAAAAATCATTTCATTGATTAACATATAAGGCCATACAATAAAAGAAAACTTATTTTTACTAATAATGAGTAGTATCAGCGGAATGGCAATGCCAAACTGAAAATAACCAGAGCTTTCATTCTACTAGTAGATCATACTTTGTGTTCGAGGAAACAAAATTGAGCAATTCGGGTTCAACATTTGCTTTTCATCACTTTGGTAGCATTGGATTTCGACTTCTCTTTTGGACTATCCAAATTTGGCATTTCTGACTCCTTTTGCATTTCGTTATTGGAAGGAGCAGGTTGATCTTCCTCTTTTGTGATGGGAACTTCATCATCCTCAGTTACTTTTTGAGACTGAGCATTGTCCCAATCCTCACGAACAATGATTCTATTCATTGCTTCCCAAGTGTGAATGATTCTATCTGGGCCTGGTTGCCAAATAATGTCACCTTCTCTTCTCTTCAGAATGTATTTGAATTGGAATTTTCCGGTAGGTATTTCCTGATTGTATGAAATATGACATCACTCAAAAACTTTTTCATCACAAAACATTTTTCATAGTTTGAAATAATAATAATGCTCACCATCTCTAAAGTCCATAGATGCCCTTCAGACCAAGTCATTGGTATGGCATTCGCAGGGTTCCATGAACCAAACATTGGATCATTACCAACTACTAGGAATTGTTCTCCAAAATTGCAAATGCGATGTAACTCAAATTTGACATTAATAGTCTTTGGTTTCGCTGAACAATAAATAGACCTTTTTAATCTTCATAACTATAAAATATATATTGGAAATAAAGATCCTACAAGATGTTACACTCAAAACTCACTTGGTTGTTCTTGATCAGATTGAAGCACCAAATTGTCCAAGTCCTCCTGCATCATGATACACAAACCAAGATTAAATTTCATCGAATTAACATACCAAACCTCACGACAACTCATTTCCTCTAAACAATTAAAAAAAATGTTATAATTAACCATTTTATGATTTTACAACAAGTTTTTCCAAATAACAGAAAAATGATTAGTTTGAATGACATTCTCTCGAACTCCAAAAAGTGATGGAGAATTTTATCATTGAAAAACAATACCTCCCTTCCTAATGACCAAAAACACATTAGTTAAATACCAAAACCATTATAGCAATTAAAACATGCAATTGAAGCAAAGCCAAAATCAAGAGTTAACAAGAAAGGACCACAGTTTTGGATGGCACAGCATGAAGTGGAGAAAGACCCTTGTTTTGGACAAGTTTAGGAAACCCAAAATCGCAACCCTTTTTGTCATTGAGGAAGAAGGAGAATTTTGGGGTGTTGGAAACAAGAAAGGCAGATTTAGGAACATGGGTTCCTAGCATGGCCTTGGAGCAAGAGCTGTTGAGGGCTTCCATCACTTTGATGTTGATGGAGTGATGTTTGATCACGGTCACAAACAAAGGAAGACACAAGTGTTTGTTCCTTTGTAAGTCAGGTGTTGTTGGGAAAGGGAAATTGACAAAGCTTGTTTGTGTGTTGTTAAGAGTAGAAGTGAGGTCTATTTATAATAGGAGTGTATGGTTCTAGAACCATGACAGAAATAGATCACAAATCGAAATGGACCTGTCATGAGCCTATGACTCGACGTGAGAATCTCAACTGATAAACTGTTATTTTGTTTGTGAGTGGCTATAAACAACTCTCCAATGTTTTGTCTGGAAAACTCTATACCACTTGCCTTTGGTTGTATTGCATGTAGGTCATTTAAGGCATGAATACCCTTGAAGATCGAAGGTCAACTTTGAATTTAAAAAACGTGAAAGTTATTTTTTTTATTGGTTTGATTAAGGGTTTTTTTTTTAAAAAAAAATTTATTATAAAAAATATTATTTATTATTATTTTTTTATCTTACAGTATATCAGTTTACGTACATATTTATTATAAAAATAAATATCATGACACGTAATTGTTTGTACCAAAGATATTTTACGATAGTTGGAGATTAGTTTTTTTTTCTCGATAATCCTATATATTAAATTTAATCATAATAAATTATTGAATTCAAACTTTTTGATAACCACTTTTTAATTGCGCTGGAACTTGTTGGTTATTATACTACGTGACAAATATATTGAGTTTAATAGTTTATTAAATTTAGTCATAATCATTAGATAAATTTAAAAGTATCTAAGTGAGTAAAAAGAAAAATATATTTATTTTAAAAAGTTTAATTATGTTTTTAGTCCTCTAAATTTATATTATTTATTTTTTTCTTCAAATTTAAAATTTATATTTTTAATTCTTGTAATTTCAAAAAAATATTATTTTAATTTCTGTATATATTTTGTCCCTCAAACTTAAAATATATGTTTTGAATTTTAATAAATATAAAACTATTATTTTATCTTTCAAATTTAAAATTCATAACTTTAGTTCTTGTAATTTTGAAAAAATATTTTTTAGTCTATCATGATCATCAATAGCATAATTCACAATAATATGTTAAGATAATTTTATAATATTAGTTAGTTTAATATGATATTTTCTCTGACAATAATATAATAATAATATAACTGACGGTGGCAAGTTAAAAAATAATTTTGTAGTATATTAATTGATCTAATGTGATGATTTTACTAAAAATGATACTGATAAAATAATTTGTATAATAGAATAATCAATGACATTGGAGCAGAGAGGCTAAAATAATATATATATATATATTTGTGGGTGAGAGGATGTTATGTGAGCATAATAGATATTTAGGCGTGTATTTACTGCAAAATGTTTTACATTTTTTTAGAGAGAAAAATCATGATTATGGAAAGGAAGAGGATGGTTTTAGTATATATATATATATATATATATTATTTTAGAGATTAAAATAACAAATTTTAAATTTTAAAGACTAAAAAAATACAATCTCAAATTTAAAGGATTAAAACCATATTAAGCCAATTTTGAAATTATTATAGCAAAAGAGTTAAAAGTATTTAAAGTATGATAACGTAAGCATTTATCTTCGAATTTTCATAAATTCTTATAAAAAAATGTTAGCCACATTTACAACAATTATGAGAGTCTAACTTAATTGGTTTTACAAATGTGTGTGAATTGTTGTAAACTCTTTAATATCAATTTCAATTCCAATAGATAAAAAATAAGAAGATACATTTACAACGATTATTTTGTATATGCAATAATATTTTTTCTGTATAATTTATATATCCATTATATAGGAAATTCATAAATGTAATTATTAACATGTTTCTAAAATGTAGTTGTTATTATTTTTGATATATATATTTTTTTCATATATTCGTACTCAACAAATTTACTCATATACTATAAATGAAAACTCTAGTGAGTGGAATACTTACACTTCTCGTTCTATTTATTAGAGATTCTCAAACTTTTTTTCCTATCATTGTGAGGTGCATTAATATATTCACTCTTTCTTCTTGCAACTCAGAGAGAAAAAAAACATCACTCACACAAAGTAACTTTTAGTAAAGTTATTTCGCTTAATAACTTATGGTGTATATTGAATTTCATCGATTCAATTGTTAAATTAAAAGTTATTAAATTTTACTAATAATTAATATAGAAAAAATTAATTAACTTTGAAATAAATTATTTGCTAATAATATAGTTGAAAAATTAATTATTTTAAATTATTTAACTAGAATCTTATTGATAATTTATTATATGATCTTGATATTTTGTATAACTAATATCTGATTTTAAATTTGATATGAAAATATTATGATATAATTAGATAAGGTTTTAAATTAATATTTTATTAATAGTTGATAATTAAAAAATTAAACAAGGATAAATATATTTTTTGAATTTTATATCTTAAATTTAAGATAAATAAATATATTAAGTTAATTAATAATTTATTTAAAATGTTAAAATTTAATTTATAAGTATGTAATAAATAAATATTTATAATTTTATAAATTATATTATCATTATAAATT